TGTTTTTCATTCTACATTCTTATATACATGATCAACATTTTTTCAAAGACTTGTTCAACATTTGCATATATATTATCAACATTTTTTCAAATAGGTGTTCAACATTTTTTAAATACTCGTTTAATATTGTTTAAATACATGATCAACATTTTTTATACGACAACAAATATGATGTGGTTGTTACTCGAAAAAAAAGTGACGTGGCTGAGCTGACGGGCCTCTCAAATACGGGTGTTAGGTCCCTCCCAATGCTCCATCTTTTACAGGTGCTAAGCCTTTCACGTAGGCAAAAAATCTGATGTGGCAAATCATTTAAGAGAGAAGAGATGAGTGTGATGACCCCAGAAATAAACAATGCTAAGCACGTGAACCTAGGCAAAACATTAAAGGAAGGAAGCCCACCAATACATATAGAGCTTTAGTTGCTAAATCATTAAATAAAGTAAGCTTAGCAACAATAAGCTAAGCATCTATGCATTGGAGAGTATAGTTGCTAAGCTATTTAATGTGTTTAGCATCCCATCTAAGCACCCGGCAGCAGCCTTATCTGTCTCCGCGACTTTTCTCAAAAATAAACTATAAAAAAATCTGTCTCCGCGGCTGAGCGAATGACCTCCGGCACAGTGGCGGTCGCGGCGTTTCACGGGGAGCCATAGAAGCCGCGACTGCGGCGGTGCGGCCGCCACAGAGCCCCTCGCCCCCCTCTCCCTCCCAGAACACCAGGATGCCTCGGAGCGCCTGCCCCTCACACTGCCTCCGGTGAGTTCATGTGTGGCCAACGCTTGGTTTTGTCCTCTGCGCCCTGACTCCTTTCGCCCGTGCGTTTCAGGTTTCGAGTCGGGATGGCGCCGCTGGCCGACGGCGCCGTGCGGCCATCGTCCGCGCCGTGGGTATTTCAGGCGAGGGCACATCGGGGAAGCGATGCCGGAGCCGGAGCTGCTGGGCGCCAACTGAACTGTAAGTGACTGCCACTGCCTAACTGGTACGAATTCAGTTCGTTGGCTGGACGGGCCATCAGAGTGCTGTCCCGTACCAGCGCAATTCCTCACCTGATTTTAGCGCCGATGCACAATGTGTGGATGGGCGTCTTGGCATGTTAGGGTGGATTAAAAATCTGAGAGGAACTGGCGAGAATTCGGACAGAGAGTGAACTGTCGGCGACAGTGGGAGGCACACACAGGGTGACAGATTTCACTTGCACTTGGGTTGGGCTGGGGAGCACACCAGCATGTGCTTGCTGAGTAGGTGCGCATTCATGCTTCTATTCGCTTTGACTTTCACCTTTAAGTTTTCCTCTGAAATATATTGGGACTTTCGTGGTCTGCCATGACCAGGATAATTCTGAAAACTTCTCCATCAAAGCTTATTGTATAATAATGTTGTTCGAAGTCGGCCAACAGAACCGTGATTTGCTTCTATTATCCGAGACTCCCCCCACCCCCCAATAGAAAAAATAACAGATGGATAGTCTTCAAAGGGGGGCTTATTCAATTCTCCAAGAACATATTGTATTTGACACAACCACGTTCTGAAAGCACTACACCTACCTCGAAAGAAAAAGAAAAAACACCACACCCAACTGCACAGACATAACATTCTGGAATCTGGAACACGAGGTTTTATTGTAAGAATTTGTGCAGGAGTCATATTTTCCCTGCAAAGCTCATGTGAAGTCCGTGCACTCTATATAGGCCCTAAATGAAAGCTTGTTCAAATTTGGCTAACAGAATCGTGTGATTTGTGTCTGTTATTATAGACTCCACCTGCCCACCAGAAAAAAACACAAAGGGATGGTCTTCGGAGGGGACTTTATCATACAGAAAGAACCACACTTGACTATTTATTTGAATCAGTACAGAAGCGATCTTGAAGTATTCTTGGTTTTGATGCTCTTTTCTGTTTCTTCCCAAACATAATATTCTGGAATCTGGAACACGAGGTTTTGTTGTGGAATTTCTGCGGGCGTCATATTATTCTCAACAAAGTTGATGTGAAGTTTCTGCACTCTATTTAGGCCCTAAATGTTGGAAATGTAGGCCGAAAACACACGCAAAGCTACTTACCTTCGAGAAAAAAAAGCTAATATTCTACTGCTTTGCACCTAGCATCTTCGGCTACAGGTCTGGTAACTTTACCATTAAAGGATATCTAATCATGATCACCTCTTTGCTGCTACAGCCTCCATCAACTTTGGCTAGCTTTCATTGCTTTATTTCTATTATCTTGTTAGCACATTCATTTTAAGAAACTGAGCACATTTTTCATGTCTTGTGCTATTTCTTTTGAGGAACACTCTTCATTTACCCTCTCTTTGATATGCCTCTAGCTTTCACAGAGAGCTGATTTATATTGATGACAACTCTGGTGGCTGGATATCTCTGGGAGTGGCAACTTTTTTTGCCATCTGCAGGTCTGCATCCTTCCTTTATAAAGGGAACTATCCTGTAATATTAGTAAATGTAACCAAGTTCTACTTCCATTGCCAGACAGAAATTATATGCAATGGGAATGCTGAATGAAATTGCTTGCAACTGTTTTTTTTAACATAATTTATATGTTTTCTTTAATGCAACACAAATGCATGCTGTAGCTTTTAGCTATGACCAAAGTGATACTGAGCTGATACGTGTGGAAGTACGCAACTGACACTTGTGACAATGGAGATTTACTTTTAGAATCTGGAGGAGGATACATGGTGGACCACCCGAAGCAACTTTAACAGGTTGAGAAGACTCAAGAGGATACCATGAGGGAGACCACTGTGTCATCTCTTGTGTTACCTCACCGGAGTGCCCTGGAACCGATCAATTTCATATCTAAGAATTATGCTATGTGTTTGCTGATGCTCCGCTCTTCATTTCTAAGAACAGATAACTCAGTATATGTTAATTGATACATCCTTTGGATGAACGATACTTGGAAAACTGACTGGTTCCCTATTCCACGCTCCAATGGCGAGAAGTGCATGATACAATGTTCCAAGAATATTAACAAAATTCATGGATGTAAATGTAATGCATAAAAATGCTAAAATTTGATGTCAAATTCATCCTGATATCAAGGACCAGAAAAGACATTCATTCTTACACTCTTCATTTATGCCAAGACTGTCAACTTGTCTTTCTTGTATCTTGAATTCTTGATGTCAAGAACGAATATGATACTGATCCTCTGGAATTTTGGAACATTGTATCGTGATACTTTATGGAACTTTTCACAACAACGACGTGGTCCCCCCTGGACACAAAATGCTTATTCCTTACATTTTCGTGGGACTGGTTGGTGTTTTACTTTTGGCACAAAACTTGTATTTGTCATTGTTAAAGAATTAAAAGAGAATGTTTTTTCAAGTGCTCATGTTTGTGATCTTTCAGTCAATGTGCTTTATATACTTGGCCTGGCACCTTTGAAGAGCACACCCATGTGGCTTAAATACTAAGCGGTTCCTTTTTCAGCTGCTTTGATTTAAATAATGCAGTTGAACCACAAAGAGTGAAATTCTTATGATTGCGGAAAACATATGTTATATTATTTTGGCACTCATTATTTGATATGATCCCACCAGATGTAGAATAGGCAAATTTAGTGGAGAGGTGATGTTTTATGGATTAGCTAGGGCTAGCTGCAACAAGGTAGCAGAAAGCTTTATGGTTGGCACATTTTCTGGGTGCAACAAACTTTTGTTATCGTCAGAATGGAGACATCACATAGTGGGAAGTGTCATTATTTTTCAAAAGATGAGGTTCTGGCCGCATATACAGTCTTGTGCCATCATTCTGCTTGGTGCAGGTACGTAATGATTTGAATGAAGCACATAGTGCTTCATAATTATGCTTATTATTATTCAAACTTCTACAATTTACTCATGTTGGAACATATTTTTATTCTGCAAGGTTTGTATATGTGCTCTGAGCAGTCTTAACATGCTCCCTCTTACTCCCTGTTTTCACATGAGAGGTAAGAGTATATAATACATGACTGGGAATTGGACCCAGGCCTCCCAGCTGTGCACACCATGTTCCCACCACACCCCAACTGACAAGGGTTCCATACTGGCAGTAACTAATATATATTGACTAAATATTTATTATTTTCAGAATTTAGTCATTATATACGTTGATTTATAATTTACTGTTCTGGGTTTATTCACATTATTTGTTAGGTAACAGTTTCCCTCTAGAACATTGCTTGGCTGTTGAGTATGTATATGTTTTCACTCTCTGTAATGAATAATTTGTATATACCCCCTCCGTTCATAGATATAAGATGTTTTAACCTTTTTCTGAATCGGATGTATATATAGACATATTTTAGTGTGTTTATTCACTCATTTCGGTCCGTATGTAGTCCATATTGAATTATCCAAAACATCTTATATTTGTGAAGGAGGGAGTGGTTTCTAGCTAACCGGGTTTTCTACCTCTGTTATCTTCGAATTCATGGATATACACTACGGTGGGGTGATAATAATTGAATATTTTTCTTGCATCCTGACATCACACAAATTTTGCGCGTGCAATCATGAAAGAAGAAAGTACTAGCCTACCTTTAAAGATATTTGGATTGTATAATCCAAGGAAAAGAGCAATAGACTGCACAGAATCATGTGTTCAGAAGTCTTGGTCCTATAAATATCCTAGTTATTAACATGTGTTCAGAAGACGGAGCAACTTCACATGCTTTTTGCATGGCTGCTGCATGCATTTTTGATGGGCGTCTTTCCTTCCTTAATCTCTGGGGCATGTATCCTTAGATCCCCAGCCTCTTGTACATATCTGTTAGTGAGAAATCGAACATACATTGTACAGATCCGCTTTGCCGCCCTTGCAACTCCAGTCAGTGCTTTTTTTGCATTTTTTTTCTCCCTTCTTTTTGAGAGATGGACATCTAGTCAGTTATCACAAGAAAGTGCTCTGCTAATGCCAACTTCATGCACCACCCTTGTCTTTAAAAGGCAAGGTAATGAACACAGTCTAGTCCAACAGCACTACTAGTTTGTGATGGACACCAGTACTCCTCGAAAGTCTGGGACGAGCTTCCTCAAAACTTGCTTCAATGGAGTTAACGCCCTCTCAGGTTTCTTCCATTCTTTCTCTGTTTTTGTTCAAGCATGAGACTGGAGAAGTCATACTATATCTATTTACTTACTCCTGTGCCGCCTCATATGTCCTCTTTAACCTTGCTAATTTGCAGTATTAACTTTCTATCTTGCAGGGGTTGGAATATTATCGATTCCTTATGCATTGTCTCAAGGAGGATGGTTGAGCGTGCTTATGTTCACAACCATAGCAATAATCTGCTTCTACACTGGGATTCTCCTGCAGAGATGCATAGATTCAAGCTCACTTGTTAAGACCTATCCTGATATAGGTGAACTGGCTTTTGGCCGGAAAGGAAGAATCATAGTAGCAATATTCATGTACCTGGAGCTGTACCTTGTGGCAATCGATTTCATGATATTGGAAGGTGATAACTTGGAGAAATTATTTCCAAGCGTCGACTTCCATGTTGCTGGGCTCAAGATTGGAGGCAAGCAAGGGTTTGTTCTGATTTTCAGCCTGTTGGTTCTGCCAACGACATGGTTTCGGAGCTTAAGTGCGCTTGCGTACGTCTCTGTTGGAGGAATCGTGGCCTCCGTCATTCTCATCGCGTCTGTTATCTGGGTAGGAGCATTTGATGGTGTTGGTTTCCACGAGAGAGGCGTGCTTGTCCATTGGGCTGGTATTCCAACTGCCATGAGCCTATACTCATTCTGTTTCAGCGGCCATGCAGTTTTCCCCATGATATACACTGGAATGAGCAACAGAAAGATGTTCCCAACAGTAAGTAAAGCAGAAACCCTTTCACCGATCTTTTGTGTTCTTTGACCAATAAGCAAATATAACTTTTGTGTGGCAGGTTAGTACTTGTTTGTTGGAAACCACGACCAATCCTAGCCTCCCCCAACTATTATGGTTAAATCTTGCTTTACATGCTCCAAGTCAATGCAAAATAGTATAACCTTTTTGACTGATAGGATAAAATACATGTTGTAGCAGCACTCCGATTCTGGAAACTGGAATCCTGTCAAAACTTTCCCATTACATAAAGCTGCAGTACCAAGGAATCACGTTTGTGCTTAACCCCTCTTCTCCCTTTTCCCAATTTCAGGTGCTGCTCCTCTGCTTCATCATCTGCACTCTCAGCTATGGGCTGATGGGCGTCGTCGGGTACCTGATGTACGGCGAGTCACTGAAGTCCCAGGTGACGCTGAACCTCCCATCGAGGAACCTGAGCTCCAGCATCGCCATCTACACCACGCTGATCAATCCGTTCACCAAGTTCGCGCTGCTGGTCACTCCGATAGCGGAGGCGATCGAGGACACCCTCCACGTCGGCAAGAACAAGGCCGTGAGCGTCTCCATCAGGACGTCGCTGGTCGTCAGCACGACCATCGTGGCGCTCGTCGTGCCCTACTTCGCCTACGCCGTCGCGCTCACCGGCTCATTCCTGAGCGGCACCGCCACGATGCTGCTCCCATGTGCCTGCTACCTGAAGATCAGGTCCAGGACCTGCAGGAAGGTGGGGTTCGAGCAGGTGGTCTGCGTGGGCATCATCGTCGTCGGGGTAGGGCTTGTGGTCGTTGGCACCTCCAGTTCGCTGAAGCAGATCATCCAGAGCTTGTGAAATGCATGATGAGCATGGATGTGGATGAACAACCATATGCAGTGGAGCCTATTCTAGTATGGCGCAATCATGCTTGTACTCTGTAGTCTGTACCTATGTTCTGGCAAGATATAGATAGGAATTTAGCTTACATAAGACTGGATAGGAATAATCCCTAAGATGTGTAGTATTGAGACTTACTCCCTTCGTTATATAAGAGTGTTTTTGACATTACACTAGTGTAAAAACGCTCTTATATTATGGGACAGAGGGAGTACTTCAGAAGAAACTGCTTGTACTTATCATGTTATAAACATTATTCAAATGTATGTATAGCCTGATGTCTAGCTAGTGGCTGTTTCTTGCTGCTGCTCATGGTCAGCAGAGTTTCAGCCTTTTTCTTGCAGATAAGAAAAGTCTGCTGTTCCAACATTTTTATGTTGTATAACTGCGAATTCTTCGCACCTCAAAGCACCCAGACCGCGACGATAAGGATATTGGATTATTGGTGCGCATTCAGGTATGTCGACACACACACGCTGAAGTGGAATGAGGCAGTGCTCGTGGCTTTCCTGAAGTTATCTGCTCTTCCTGAAGTTATCTGGTCTGCCCATATGTTGATGCATTGATATACTGCCTACCAATACATGACATACCCAAAGAAGTACACAATATTAACGAGAAACAGAGTTACAATCTGCAGGCATAAGGTATGCGATATGCGACAGCGTCAGGAGCGTCTTGCAACCACAGGAGGGTCTTGAGATGTTTGTATGTTAGTAGGTTTTCGCCGCGTGGTGGATACCTCGAGCTTGAGCATCCACAGCGGGTTTCCTGCTAATGCTCCAACTAGCTCGTCCCTTTCCCGCTCCCTTATCTCTGTTAGTTTTAGTTTCCTTGCTGTGTCTGAACTACTATATATACTGGAATATTCCCATTAAGTGATTAATGGAAAGGGTTGTGAGCCCGGCTGAAAAAAAAGGTCCGTGCGAAGCTTCGTTCTACCACGTTAGCTAACAAAATCTGCAATTTTATTTTGATTAAGCACAAGTTTCATTGCTAACTTCTCCCTATCTCCACTAAGGATGTCACGGCCCAAGCACAAAGGTGGGACGGACACTCAGATCAACTAGATGATACCCCGTGCGTTGTAGCGGGAACGGTAGATACACATCAATATAGATACATTCAAAACAAATATGTACTCCCTTCGGTTCAAATTATAAGATGTTTTGGATATTTTAATATGAACTACTCTCACTGTTCCCAAATATAAGTCTTTTTAGAGATTCCAACAAGTGACTACATACGAAGCAAAATAAGTGAACCTACACTTTAAAATATGTCTACATACATTCGTATGTTGTAGTCCATTTTAAATGTCTAAAAGGACTTATATTTAAAAACGGGGGGAGTATATACAAGCTAAAATGAGTGAATCTATACACTGAAACATGTCCAGATACATTCAATTTAGAATAAACATCTTATATTTCGTAATGGAGGGAGTAGAATATTGAGTAGGAGAGACCGAGTGCACAGAAGCTCCCACACATGGTGGAGTCTGGGCAGGGATTATAGGAACCTAGTCTTATCCCTGCGAAGTGCAATATAGAGAGGCTGGTTTAACACAGAAAAATGTACGTAAAACCATTTGCTACGAGCCTCATGGATTGTCGCGGATGTAAAATGAATCCCGCTCAGAAGAAGACTCAAAGACAAAGGAAATGACACCAAGCATCCAGATAAAAAAGTGGTTTAAATACCTGTAAAACTATCGCTCACTCTTATAAGTTGTCGTGATCCCTAGCACTCCATATGAAGAACCATCCTCATGAATGTGAGTTTTATGTTATCTATAGACGAACGGAAAGTTTGGTTAAAATCTTAGAATCGATACATCTAACCACACGAACTAATTTGGAACAAAATTAACCATAAAATGACCATCTTTAAGTTAGTGACTATGTATGACAAAAGAAAAATGTGGAATGACTTGAAGTATTATACCAAAACTAAGTGACACAATATTTTACAGTAAAACTAATTGAAGTGTGTTTCTAGTGTGAAGCACGACATATCCTAAAGCATTGGGCAACTGCATTGAACCCTAAATCTGCAGACAACATCTAGAACAAATAAGTGGAAAAAGTTCTCACCTCAGTTCCGGAGTCCGACAAATAAATAATGGATATGTCACCTTTGCCAAAAAGTTCAATATGTATTTAAAAGATGTTCAGCATATATTACGAAAATATTCACCATATATTAAAAAGATCAGTTAGTATTTGAAAGTGTTCACTGTATATTAGAGAAATGTTCACGTATACTAAGAAAATGTTAAAAATTTCAAAAGAAATTTGGATTTTTTAAAAAAAGAACTATGTTCCAAAATTTCAAAAAATTATTCTTATTGTTCAAACAAGTCTGCATTTTAATATTTAAAACTGACTAAAAACGCTGTACAAGTGGTCTCTCACCCAGGCACAGTTTAGGAAATGCGGGCTGCACTGTCTGCTGTTAGCCGGCCCACATGGTACAGTAGCTCCTTGTCTTTTAGTTTCTTTAGATTTTCAAAAAAAAAAGGTTTTAAGTTGTAAAATCTGTATCAATTCCATCCACACCTCCAAATGAGATGAGTTCTGTATGAAAGTTGCTCAGAATTTTATCTAGAGTTCAAAAATGTCACTTTCACCTTAAACTCATAACTAAATCATCATATCTTGGAATTATACAGATAATATATGCATGTTAGCAGTGGCGGAGCTTACTGAGGGCCAAAGGGGGCCATGGCCCCCCTATCATTTTTTTACATAAACACATCTTTTTTTAGAACCATGGATACAACTAGGCCATGGTAAGAATACTCTCGTCTCTCATTACATGTTTAGCATCAACTCGGACATTAGCATTCATACTAAAATCACCGGATCTTCTCGCAATGGCCGCGAGCTCGTGCGCCAGCTTGTTCTTGCTTTTGCTTATGATAATAAACGCATCATATTTAACACTATTGCGAGAACATCATAATAAACACATCATATTTAACACTATTTGAGCCAAATTTAACATAATACACTAGATTAGCCCCCTCAATTCTATTTAAGACTCATTGTGCCTCCTCTCAAATCGCATTAAAACTCTGCCACTGCAGTTAGTCGAAAAATGTGTAGGATATGTTTATGACATTGTCTTTTCTTGATCTTCAGGGCGTGCGTGAGTGGTGTGCAATGGAGAGAATAATGATTTGTCTGCTCTGGATCCTCCTCGCCGTGTTGGCTTCTCTGGCCCCAGCTATCCGGCGGCAGTGACCAACGACAACAGTGTGATGCTTCTACCCGCCAGCCCGTCACCAACGTTTATGACTTAGTGGGGTTCTTGGCATCGCACATGCCTGACGACGCTTGGATCTCCAAAATCAAGATTTCTTCAAACTTCGTGTTCACCCACTTCCACGAATTCGTTACTCTCTGGGCCACCTTTCACGACTTTCACACAGTGCGGATACCAAAGATGATATTGTTTGAAAGCACACCATGTTGGGGAACGCAGTATTTCAAAAAAATTCCTACGAACACGCAAGATCTATCTAGGAGATGCATAGCAACGAGTGAGGAGAGTGTGTCTACGTACCCTCATAGACCGAAAGCGGAAGCGTTGAGTAACACGGTTGATGTAGTCGAACGTCTTCGCGATCCAACCGATCAAGTACCGAACGCACGACACCTCCGCGATCTGCACACGTTCAGCTCAGTGACGTCCCTCGAACTCTAGATCCAGCTGAGGCTGAGGGAGAGTTTCTTCAGCACGACGGCGTGTTGACGGCGATGATGAAGTTACCGACGCGAGGCTTCACCTAAGCACCACGACAAATATGACCGAGGTGGACAACTGTGGAGGGGGGCACCACACACGGCTAAGAAAACAACTTGTGTGTCTATGGGGTGCCCCACTCCCCTGTATATAAAGAAGGGGAGGAGGGGGTCGGCCGGCCTCAAGGGGCGCGCCCCAAGGGGGGGATCCTACTCCTACTAGGAGTAGGTTCCCCCCTTTCCTAGTCCAACAAGGAGGGGA